TCATTAAGATTTGTAATGCTTAACAATGTAATACTCGGTGTTAGAAATCGATTACAAATGGTGTATTTGTTATATTTGAGGACTACTTTACCCACTGAGAAAGTTGTTGGTTGAGGTATTTATACTTAGCGCTGATCCCAACAGGCTTATACTGTTTGTATTCTAACAAAATTGTGTCGCTTCCTATCTAAACCTTGAAAACGTTCATTAATATCATTTTGATGTTATTTGAAGTTATTTTTTAACTTATATTTTTACATATAATCGAAATTAAAACATGCATAAGTGTGGTTTTCAGCCAGCTTTGCCGAGCCAACTCGGCAAAAAGCGATTACATGGGATGTGTGGGCAATTTCTGTCCCGGCTAAGCGAGTTGACTCGACAAGCTACAGCCGCGGTCCCGGCAAGGTGGGACAACTCGTTTGGCATGTAATCGAAATGTCAAAATAATAGACAATACATATAGGAAGCGGGTCAACTCGGCAAAGCGAGTCAACTCGCTTAGCCGGGACAACTCGTCCATGTAATCGCGGCCCCTAATTTGTGGTCTATTTGGTTACTAGCTTTACGATTTACGCGCACCACAACCTTCAACGGTTTGCATATTTTTTCTGCCCTTGCACGGAAACGAGGTTATAATTAACATGGCTCTGCAGAATTTATCAAGCTTACCTTGTATTTAAGTAACTCGTTTTCTCTTTCCATGGATCGTTCTAATTCGATTTTCATCTTTTCATAACGATTATTTAGAATTGATAATTCCTGTTTAATCGTGTACATTTCCTCTTGCTCGTGGGCTCTTGTTACTTGATCCTGAAAGAAAAACATGGTACGTTGTAATATAATGAAAAAAGATGCTCGTAACGACATAAGACATAATTCAGGGCGAAGGTGGAAAATGTCTTTTTCTTTCTACAGAACCTGGGTTTAACTCAGTTTAAGGCCCTGTTACACGGTGCAATTTTTCATGCAACTTGTCTCGCAATGTTTAAAAAAGATTTTGATAATGCATTGCAAGATGTGTTACACGCTGCAATGATTTTCATGCAACTCGCAACGATAGGGGACAGAGGCATGCGAAGAGACTAGGGAGAGGCGCTATTTGGCGCCAAATTTTAATTAAAGCGTATACTGGGGAGAGCCAATAGGAACTCTCCAAGCTATAAACATTGCGAGACAAGTTGCACGAAGCCATGGCACACGCTGCAATGCTAAAAATAATTAGTGCAATCGTTGCCAAAAGTAGAACCGACTTCTACTCTGTGCAATGCTTCATGCAACTTGTCTCGCAAAGATTTTGACCATTACAAGGCATGTTAAACGGTGCAATGACTCGTGCAACTTGTCTCGGAACGCCATTGCGAGACAAGTTGCATGAAAAATTGCACCGTGTAACACGGCCTTTAGGGCTCAACATTTTCTGCAAAAGATTACAGTATAATATTATAGGGAACTGTTGTTTTACCATACATCAAGCAATATGTCTTCGATAAGGCATACTGTACAAGATAACTCCTGAAGTAGTCATAGTATTTACAATCTTACAGTACTTGACATGTAAATAATTTACAAGTACTGTAAGATTGTTGTAATTTTCAGAATTGGCTATCAAAACAATGTCTGAAAATTTCAGCAAAAATGTAGACCCCAAAAAATTTCTGGGAACCACTGTAGGTCCCATGCAGGTTCCGATACTTTCCACCTCTCATTCAGGATTTCACTCTAAGCGTGCAAAGCATACCCATTTCTTAGAGACATGATAAATGAGAATGGTAACGTAATGTTGAAATTTTATCACGTCAGCAAAATTTCATTTGACCGCGCAAGGTTTGTGATATATGCTAATAACTTTTTCCTTTGGGTGAAATTTTCTGAAATTTTGTATTTTAAAAGTACTAATCATTTATTGTAATATATACTCAATTTTTAAAATATTCTATAAACCAGTTTCTGTGGAACAAATTTCTCGTAATATCTCAAACAGGGTTCGTAGTCTCCAAGACCAAAAAAAATTCAAAGACTTTCAAAGATTTGTGCTGCCTATTTTCAAAGACTTTTCAAAGATCTTTGAGAGCAATCAGCTATCGAAAAATTACGAATGTAAGCAACATTTTTACCCAGTAATTAGGACGTCAAATCACATGCTAAAATGCACCTTTTCGTCGATATTTGCGAAAATCTGGCTTCAATCAATCGATTTTATCAGCTAGGAAATCATATAATCAAATACTCACTAAAGAATTCAAAGACTTTTAAAGACTTTCTTCGCTTTTTCACACAATTCAAAGACTTTTCAAAGACCTGAATTCAAATTTAAAGACTTTCAACGATTTCAAAGACCGCTACGAACCCTGTCAAACACTGAATTTAAAACCCACCCTCCTAATTTTTTTGATATAATCTTCCACTAGATATTCCCTTTACACTCAGAAACTTTGACCGAAGGAAATTTTAATAAATTCATTTTTAGTCCAAAATTTGATCTTTGTCTGCTGTCGCTTACGCCACATTGTTACCATAGCAACACACAATTTGCTTCTTTCGAACGATTATGCTTGAAGCATAAAGATTACGCAAGCGCTTCTATACTTCAAAAAAATCCCCATTTCATATAAATAGCAAATATTTCGCTCATTGTGAAGGCCCTATAGCTATTTTTCAATGCTGTTTCTCTACAACTTAGGGAGCCACCTTAAGTCTGCCGTCTGCACCAGGCCTAACTGTGCCTTACCTGGACCAATTTGTCGGCCAATGCTTCACATTCCTTAAAAGAGAAAAGAAGTTGTTGTCTTATTTTTGAACCTTCAAATCAGGTGCGATAATTCGAGATTTTTAGTAGTACTCCAATGACTATTGCCTCGTACTTGAGCTGGTTAAAAAAGACTGAAGGTGCACTTAGTTTTAAAATGAAGTACATAAAGCACAGATTTCTGAAAGGTATTCATTCAGTAACCTGAAAAGTTATAGCAAGTAGCACAATTACATATAGCACCATTACATTCGACTCTAACATTCCTTAGTGGAATCATGTTTCATGCCAAGACATGTCAGACATGTACCGACTTAAATACGGTTTTGAATACCTTGGGTTTGGAAAGTCATATGGCACCAGCAAAACGTCAGTACGCAAATCAGGGTGTTAGCCAGGATTTCAAAAGTGGCCGCCCAAAATAATTTTGTGGGCGTGGCCACACATTTTTGTGGGCGTGATCACATGATTTTGGGCATGGCCGCAACTTTTTGTTGTTGTGGAATTGTGGTGTTCTATTCATTGAACCTTTTTACTTTTCGATCCACACGTGTCTGTCGATACTTTAATTCAGCCATATTCAACGTGTTTTCGACGGGAAAAAGTATGAAAACATATACCATAAGTAAAGTAAACAGCAGATGACAACAATTCGAAGTATTCAGGAAATATTACAAAGCTTGTAAATTGCTATTTAAAGAAAATATTCCCTTTGGCCGTACGCGAATTATCGCACCCTGTGACAAACTGTATGAAAGGGTATGCCACAATCAGGCTCTGTTGTTGTAATTGACCAAATATATACTTATTGGTAATATTTCCAGCAAATATTACCGTGCTTGCAAAGCTCTGGGAAACATGGGTACAGCTGTACATAGGTACCTTCCCGAGTTTGTGCTGAGCCATAGTAAAGAAACTACACTGTTGCCACCTTGAATAGAAGTGAACATGAGTTTTAATAATTTTCTATTTTTCTTACATCTTCCAAGGCATCAACACGATGTCTTAAAACCATTTTCTCTGTTTTTAGTCTTCGTATTTCTTGACTGTCTTCGACTTCCTTTGACTTCGTACGAGTGTAATCTCTCTCGAATCTTGTGGAGAAGAAAAACATTTATTAAAGTCTGGAACTATTAATTAAATTAAAGGCTACACGACCATGTCAATGGAAAAAACATCAGGGAAATGACATCCTGCCATCTGGCACGGACAAGGCTCGAAGTAGAGAAAAAATATGGCCTGCCAGTCTGCCAGTCTAAAAATTTTTGGCAGGTGAAATAAGTAGTTTTTTATAATAGTTTTGTTTGTGGAAACACCACGTAAATTTACGTGGTGTTTCCACAAACAAAACTATATTATATATTTTATCGCCATGCAAACATACAAAGAACTTAAGGTAATTCCGCAGTTTTGCACTGCGCACATCTTATAACTTATAATTTCATCCATTATACGAACCGTTTAAAAAAAAAAAATTATGACAATTTTATGTTACTTCAAAACATATTTGGTTACATTCGTGCAAAGAATTACGCTAAAATCTATGTTTTCAAAAAAGGCATACAAAAATGTAGCTAGGGTTCCCTGTGTCTGTAGTATATTTATTTACTTGTATTTCACGTTTTAATGCCACAATTCCCTAAAAAGATCGGTGATCCCTGTTTTTTAACTGATAATTTATTTCTTTAATGCATTTTACATTTCATATCCGAAATTAAAAGAAAAATCATTTCTGGATCTTGAAAAAAAATCATTTATCAATGCATGTTCTCAAAGAAAGATAAGTAAAGAAATGTGGAAAAGACATTTGTGGATCAGAATTGTACACGTTAGTAGTTTCATTTTGCTCAAAACGCAATATTTTTTCAAAAATAATTACAAGATAGGTTTACTAAAGAAAAATCCTCGCTAAAAACGTCAATAAATATCGGGCTGTTGTGATTTTGCTGTTACTCGTAATGAGCGCCAAGATGGCGCCATATTGAGGTAAAGGTGGTATATTGTGATTGTCATATCTTCTTAACGAGTTCGGTGACCCCGACTTTTTTTGTGTGATTTTACTTTAAGCATATCATAAACTCCATGCCTGGGAAGTTTCAGCACATTCTCATTTCGGGAACAATTACTGCGGAATTACCTTAAGTAGTTTTTTGTAGATGAAAATTTCGAATGGTTAAATAAACATTTTTTGCCTAACCAGGAGCAACTACGAAAACTGCAACTATAGGTCCTCTGGTAGGAATCGAAGAACTTGTGGTTAGAGTTCGACAACTGGATTCTGTAACTCAGTTGGTTAGAGCGCTGCACTGGAATCGCAGGGCCACATGTTTGATTCCTGCCAGGGATCAATGTAGATACAGATTCGCTTCTGTTCCTGGTTAGGTGTGATAAATATATGAATTTCCACTCGGTAATTTTCATCTACAAGACCCTTCATCAACTTAAACCATCTTGGACAGTGTTACAATAACCAGTGGCGCTGCCCCCAATGGACCATTTGCATTATAGACTAATTTTGATGTAGACAAAAATTTCATCACAGCTTGAAAGAGCATCACAAAATGAGTAATATACCAAAGTTTCGTTGCGAAATGTTGTAAAATGCAAATATAGCCCTGCGAAGTTTGCCGTTTTTCAGTCATTTTGTATTACGCACGGGAAATTGACAGCCCAATCGGGTGTTGGGGCATCAATTTCCCGTTTGTAATACAAAATGACTGAAAATTGCAAATTTCGCAAGGCTATATTATCCGCATTTTACAACATTTCGCAACGACACTTTGGAATATTACTAATTTTGTGATGCTCTTTAATTTCAAACTGTGATGAAATTTTTGTCTACATCAAAATTTAGTCTATAATGCAAATAGTCCATTGGCAAAAGGACCATTTCCAAATTCCCCCAGATCCCCCTAGATACCTCGCGCCTTTGCCGCTTGCATTTCAAATGCTATAAATATTTTGCCCTCCCCCCCTCCCCAAAGTTCAGACCCTGGCTGGGCCACTGACAATAACCCACCTTTTCATTTTCTTCATGCTTATTTTAATTCTGTCAGCTTCTTCAACGACCACTTCAAAATCACCCGAGTACTTATCTAGCATGGTTTTTTGAAAGTGCTGATTAAAAGAAACGAGAGTTAGATAAAGCATAAAAAATGTTTGATTAGGCAATTATTCTTATATATTCAATAGAACTTTTTTTAAGTTATAACATTTGGTCCTTGTGTGTGGCAAAACACACAAAAATTTCGATGAATACTGGCGTCTGAAAATGATTTTCTGATTTTTGCCTGAAAAAATGTTATAGAAAAATAGGGTTGGATGTCATGAGGTAGGGTCGGTTGGGAAACAGCAAGCAAACAATTTTTAGGCCTAAGAAATATAAGAACAACTAAAATGTACTGCACTAGCTAGACGTATATTTATACTGAATACATCTATCAGTTCTATAGTGTCAATAAAGTAGTATACCTGTAGCATTTCTTCCATATCGGACTTCAAAAGTTCATTGATACTTAGCGTCAAAATTGCGAGTGACAATTTGAACAATATTTCACGACCCTATAAAACAAAACAGTGGTAAACTAGAGGGCACTCACAGACTATATTACGCAGAAGAATAAGTTAATTAAAATGCTTGTGATGTTACTCCTGAGTGTATATCCACACCGGGCAGGCTTGAACAATATGCCTGGCCACGGTGGGAATCGAACCTACGACCTTTGGAATACCAGCCCAATGCTCTGCCAACTGAGCTACGCGGTCAGGTCGGTTCGAGCATGTGATATTTCGGAACTGAGTCTAGTTCCTTCGATATCAGTGTAATCTAATAATCATGATATTTGCTGTGTTGGTGTAATGAACTCAGGTCTCAGGTGAACAAGATGCTTGTGATGTTACTCTGAGTGTACATACACTAGTACATCACAAGCATCTTATTCACCTGAGTACATTACACCAACACAGCAAATATCAAGTGAATTAAGTTTATGTATTTGCGATAGATGAACCAGGCGGAAATCGTAATCTTAGGATAAATATTAATGCCCAGCATAAAACACGTAAAAGAGCCATAACAAAAATATAATTTTAAATTATATTTTTGTTATGGCTCTTTTACGTGGTTTATGCTGGGCATTAATATTTATCCTAAGTTTATGTATCATGCATAAATGGAACAATGCGCTAGTATACGCATTCAGTTTATTCTGCATGCCTGGGACAAACGGACCTAAGACAAACTTTTGCTAATTTCTCATCCAATTTTCATCCAAATTTAAGCAAAATTTAAGGTTACAGGACACCCTTTTTGGCGTTTTGCGGAAAATCGCTACTGCGCGCTCAATATCAGTCCGATTTTCATCAGATTTTCACCAAATGTTCTCCAGTGCATGCAAAATATGGTAAAGTTGTAAAATTAACAAACAATAAAATAATGTGAGCATTATTCAGGAAATCTTAAATCGCGGTACCGTTACGCTTTTGAGTTGTGCTCCTGGTGGTTTTAAGTTATATTTATGAAAATATCATTTTTATACAGTGAAATAGTTGTTCTAAAAAAACGTGTTCGGAAATTTTTGTTTATTTCGTCATTCCGCTGATATGGCGATTTCTTTGACGACTGAAATATATTTTTGAATCGTTTGAGTGAATTGCTCTTTATTTTTAAAATATCCAAAATTAAGAAGAAGCCGAACACAATTTTGAAACTGACGTATTTAGCTATGTCCTGTGAAAATTTGAGAAAAATTAGATAAAACCCGCAGGAGCACAACTCGTTTGAAAATCAGTAATTACCGTAAAATTTTCCGGGAGAAAATTGAATTTGAACATTACATTTTCAATGTTTTTCTTATTGTAGCGAAATGTATTTTATTAAATAACTCTGCGAGTTTTCAACATTTTTCGTTCAAACTTGGTCAGATAGTAGAACTAGTCTAATGCTTTCACTAAAACCAATAAAAAAATTTAGGCAAAATTAACACTCAAAGGTGTTCTGTAACCTTAATCAATTTGTCCTAGGGCAATGTCAATCATTCCCACAAATTCGTATGGTTTCGAGTGCAATTTGCACGAGTGCGAAGGACCACAGGCGACCCAATCTCGCAAGGGTCAGTATAGAGTTATACTGTTATAGTATAAACGTATATTATATTATATTATATTATATTAATGCATATTATAGTAAAAATATGTCGCAAAATATAAATTTTAAAATGAAATTGACTTGCCTATTTGATAGTGTGTGTTCTCCTTTTATTCCTCCTTTGTTGGACTAATATTTTCCGAGACTTTGCACTCGAGGTTACTAGTATACATGAAACATGATAAAGGCTAACGATTTCCGATCGTCGATACGACGGCACGGCACTTCGAATCGAAAATTTTCACACTCAAATCGCTTTATTCTCCAAAAAAATTCGCCAGCATGTACAACAAATGCCGTTCTTCGAAAATACGGAGGTACTTCGGCGAGTTGTACATGCAAGTTTTGGACCATATTTTAACAATGGAAATCAAAACCCATTTTATATTGAACTTGCCCAGACCGAAAATTACTACGGCGAACGTCTGCGCAACCAGGCATCCTTTATCGTTGGATTTACAGGGAGGGGAAGCAGATATTTCCGGTAACAGCCAGCCAATCGCGGCCGCGATAGCGACTGTTTACATTATTTGAAATTTGATATTCAAAATAAAAACTTTAATTTGAAATATTAATCGATACTTTAATTCGAAATATTATCGTGAATATATTAGTGGCATCCTCCCCCCTGTAAATCCAACGGTAAAGGAGGCCTGGTTGCGCAGACGTTCGCCGTAGTAATTTTCGGTCTGGGCAAGTTCAATATAAAATGGGTTTTGATTTCCATTGTTAAAATATGGTCCAAAACTTGTACATCTCGTGAAGTACCTCCGTATTTTCGAAGAACGGCATTTGTTGTACATGCTGTCGAATTTTTTTGGAGAATAAAGCGATTTGAGTGTGAAAATTTTCGATTCGAAGTGCCGTGCCGTCGTATCGACGATCGGAAATCGTTAGCCTTTATCATGTTTCATGTATACTAGTAACCTCGAGTACAAAGTCTCGGAAAATATTAGTCCAACAAAGGAGGAATAAAAGGAGAACACACACTATCAAATAGGCATGTCAATTTCATTTTAAAATTTATATTTTACGACATATTTTTACTATAATATACATTAATATAATATACATTTATACTATGTCTATACTGACCCTTGCGAGATTGGGCCGCCTGTGGAAGGACGAGTGCAATATGAAGTCTTTGAAAAACTCACGAGTGTACGTTTTTCCAAATTGCACGAGAAACCATACTATTACTTATGAATAATATACATGGAAAAATTATGCGGTCACATGCGTGTGCGTAGGTCAAGTGCGAAATAGTTAATTTTAATATAAATAATTTTAATAGAAAATCTGCTAAAAACGCCAGCCATTTTTGTCGCTTGTAAATGTTTGGGTTTTTTGTATTACATGTACCTTCTGCATGCTAGAAATGGCTGTGTCTAATATTATAGTCAATGAAATTTGCACTGTATTTCATTTTTTGGCACTATATTTCGACAAAATTGCAGTGCTCTTAGCCAATCAGAATTGAGAAATTTTTTCACGTATATTATTGCCATATTTATACGTTTGAAATTTTTTTTAAGTTATGCTCACAGACAAACAAACAAACACAAACACAAACGCGAATACAAACACAAACGCGAATGAAAAGTATCTTTTCATTCGCGATTGTGTTTGTGTGTTTGTTTGTTTGTCTGTGAGCATACAGTAACTTAAAAATATCCAAACGTATATAAATATGGCAATAATATATACATGAAAAAATTTCTCAATTCTGATTCGACAAAATTGCAGTGCTCTTAGCCAATCAGAATTGAGAAATGTTTTCATGTATATTATTGCCATATTTATACGTTTGGATATTTTTTAAGTTATGCTCACAGACAAACAAACACACACACACACACACACAAACACAAACGAAAAGATACTGTACAGTACGTAAATATCAGGATTTGGGGCATTAATTGTTGAGAGGTTTGAGATGGAAATTTCGACGCTGTAAATTTGATTTATTACACCTAAACCAGTAGCAGTTACGAAAAATGCAACTACTGTATGGCAGAATCAAACAGTTGGTTCTCAGTGTTGAGTGCGATGCCCAAAATCCTGATATAATTACCCATAATTTTGGAGTCTCGTATGATCATGAAGAAGAATACTTACATCACAAATAAACATGTCCATGATCCTAAACGCGACGTTCAGAGGAAAAACGGACGAAAACAGCGTTAAAAACCACGACGAGGCGTACATTGCCGTATGGAAACCCTAAAACATGAACAAAAGATATCATATATGTACAATCCGGTGTCCAATCCAGAATTAGAACAACAACAAGTATAGTATACAAATGTAAACGAACCTGAGCTTTGAAGTGTCCATGTAATTCTGGCAATAATTCCTACATTTACAAAGCAACAGAACAACAATATTAATTACAGTGCTGCCTAGAAATAATCAATAAAACGCGCAAGGAACGCATAAAGAACGCGTTAACTCTTGAACGTGCGGTCAATTTACGCACTAGCGATCCTCGGCATCGTAAATATACCGGGTGGCGCAAAAAATGTTACCCCTCTTTGATTCAATGCAATTAAAAAACTGAAAAAACTATCTTATACAAATAAAATTTATTGAACGTAGTTATGTCTAACTTATATTTTGATGTAATGCCTTGCACATTTCTATAAAATATTAGCTGAGATATAGGCGTTTACAGTCAAGGTAGTGTTTTTGGAAGAAGCGAAAAATGTCTATTAATTTCCGATTACGGTAATAAAATGGCCATTTTTCGCTTCTTCCAAAAATGCTACCTTAAGTTTAAACGCCTATATCTCGGTATAGAAATGTTTAAGGCATATACCAAAATTTAAGTTAGACATTACTGCAGCGTTCAATGAACTTTTAAGTCAAAGAGGGGGAACATTTTTTCACCACCCGGTATTTCAGATAAAGGCGCTGTTTGGTGGGCACTTTCTCGATATATAGTACTGCATGCGCAACCGAAATGTATTATTTAACAAATATAAAACATTTTCCGTGTTGATATACAGTTATATCAACACGAGTGGAATTGGGAAAACGAGAAATTGTATGGAAACACGACGCCCGAAGGGCGGAGTGTTTTCATACAATTTCGAGTTTTCCCAACTTCCACGAGTGTTGATATAACTATATATCAATACGGAAAAAATGTTTTATATTTTTTTTATAATATAGCAATGTCAAAAGCCCGAAGGATAAGCAAAATTTCCGTGTTTACAAGCGGCGGAAAATTTCCCGTGTTGACATTGAGTTATATCAACACGGCTCTTAGCCAATCAGCGTTCAGAATTTACAAATGCTATATTATAAATAAAAATTAATTATACAACGTTATAAAGCTAGGTTTAGGGTAAAGGCATGCAGGTTTCCATATGCTCCGCTACCAACTTCCCAACGAAGGGCGCTCCGCTCAAAACGTCGAATTTCGCTTTTTATTATATGGACAATGGTGTTTTACTGGAAACTAAAACACTCCTAGAACTCATACGTCACTACATCCGGGACCAGATGCGCGTATTTTCCATATTTCACCCTTGCTTGCTAGTGACATACGAAGTTCGAAAATTTCCCGCCATTTTCATTGTTGTTGTTTTGAAAATACAAATGGTCTTTGGTTCGTATATAAAACGAAATTAACGTTGGAAATAAAACGAAAACATTTAAAAGACATCTTGAGATAAGTAAAATTTATTCTAGTTTTATGTTTGCACTACAATTATAAAAAATATCGCTTTTATACTGCATTACTGCAGGTCTTTGACGAGCTTATTTACATGTCGTCTTTGTGTGTATTTTTGTCACTCTGAATAAAGGCGGATTTCCAGTCCTCGCACGAAGCTCCTCGCAGCGCTCGCTGCGAGTGATGCATGAGCACTTTCATCCAATCACAATGCTAAACAGTTCATTTTAATTAGATGCAAGCACTCGCAGCGAGCTGCGAGAAGCTTCGTGCGAGGACTGGAAAACCGCCTTAAGTCCATATAATAGACAGAACATTAAACGGTTGCGAGAAGATATGGATTTATGTTCTCGTGTCAAAAACAATATCTCACTCGTTCGCTGCGCTCACTCGTGAGATATTGTTTTTGCCACTCGAACATAAAATCCATATCTCTTCGCAACCGTCTAATATCCTATATGTATTTTTTGAGGTAGTGCCGCACCCCTACCGATTGGCACTCCCTACACTGACAGTTCAAGATTAGGTTTCCATATGGCCATAACGGTCGCAAAAATAGAGTCACGATATTTCTCAACGGCCAGATTATACTGTAGTAGCTTTTATCTATAAGCCACATATGAATCATAAGTATATTCTTCATTTATAATAACTCTGCCTATATTTTCAGTTCTAAACTGTTGTATTTTGGCTGTTGAGAAAGACCGTGACTCAATCTTTACGACCGTTACGACCATATGGAAGTAGGGTTAAGGTTGGGCATACACTGTACTGTATATCAAAAAAGCGCCTGCAACCAACACTTGAAAAGACCATGTTCAACTATTCACAAACCTGAACTAAATTCTCTAACTGATATATACACAATCCAAGCTCAGACATATTTGGTTTATATAATTCTCTCATGCCATATTCTTCCATAAGTTTGACAAACACACAAAACGTCTCTTCTTCAGGCATCTGTAGAAAAGATTGAGAAAAACAAGCAACAACAGCATTAATCCTCCACCACAGTAATTCTAAGTCATATTCCATGACCTGTGCTGTAAATCTAATATACCATCATTAAAAAACTCATCAGTAATAATTCAGGAGCAAAACACAAAGAAAAATCATAAGCGTGTCGTATCTTTATATGTGATAAAAAATCACGTTAATTTACATAAACTTTAGCTTTGATTTTCTCGGTTTAGACAAAGTTTATTTTAAAAATTACTTCGCTAATGTACTCATCAGAAGATGGTCGTTTTTTAAGCCATTTAAAGCACTTGTAGGAGTGTTTTATCAGATATAAAACGCTCGGCTACGCTCGGCTGCGTGTTTTATCAGATATAAAACACTCCTGCTCGTTTATTAAACAGTACATAATTTCACGAAATTAAATTTCAAAAATTATACTCCAAGCACTGACAACTTGTAATTCTTAAGATATATATGTAAAAGTTGTTGAATAATGGCCGGCTGAAGCGAGTAAAGAACATTTGTCATTGCCGTCTTTGTGATCGAAATCTATAATTGACTTCAGAATCCTTTCCCATTCTTGACGTAATTATCATAATTACTGTTGGTTAAACTTTTAAAATAAATATGCATGCATGTCAGTAGAGATTAAAACGAGACTCGATAGCTCTCGAATAAAAAAAACGAAGCTCTAAACAAGGTGAGCAACTTTCCGGAAAGGTGTTTTGCTGTCATAGCCAAGGTAAATAAACGGATTAATTTAATTTAAGCTTCAAACGTTTTTGCCTTTTGGGGACAAAGTTATTTTTTCTATCTTTAAACTGACCCACCTTCATTAGTAACATTCCAGCAATAAACATACTTCCTTGACAATAACCAACAGCTTTGTCGTAAATTGAGTAAGCCTTAAAAATAACATTAAAAACATGTGAGTTTCTACTGGTCTAAAATACAGTATTGTCAAATAAAGAAATATATAAAACAAAATGAAGATTTTAATCATATAGCTCTATCGACCAGATCGAAAAACTGAGTATACTGTATCTATTTGGGGCCGGATGCATACGAAAGGTGGAAAAATTTTATGCTGTGGATAAGTCTTATCCAATGGATAAATCTTCTATCCGATTGTGGATAGCGCTATCCGGCTTTTACTGGCTTATTTCCATGATTTTTACCACACCTATAGCTTATCTGGCATACATGCAGACGCTCTCATTTCCTGCGCGCGTATACGCTTGTTTTTAGGAGATAACTGCGCGTTATCAAAATGTGTATAAATAAACCTTAGGTGTCCTCGATAACTGAACAAAGATTTACAGGCCTTAAAATATCTTTTACAGGGCCGTCTGACAAAATGTCCGATAACTTTGAGTTTGGGGACATATATGTATGATGATGTCCGATGACCTTTAGTTTGCAGTTTGGCTCGGACGTAAGTCGAGTGACACAAATTAATATCAGCACAATGTATAAAATCTGAACGGTAAATATTGTTAATGTATTAAATAAATTGTGTCATTCATACTTATTTCCAAGCTAACAATAACTTGCTTGCCAATAACAGCAGTACGACTTCGACAACTTAAGCCCGATTACATTAAAACAACATTTCCGGTTCACTTTTTATACATTACTCTGATTCTCCATTTAACATGCGAGCCTCTAGTCCTGGACTAGGATACATCTTGATTTACGTCGGACAAAGCTACAGTTCGGTCGGACACCAATACACTCGGGTTGGACAAGCAATAAACCTCAGTTTTACTTACACGGGTAAAAATTGAGAAAATCAACAACTTGTTCCAGGTTGATATCAACAGGCGTGAACAAGGTTAATGCGGCCCACTATGAACAGTATTGTCAACATGTTGTTACAGCATTGTTCAACTATAACAACTTGGAACAACATGGTTGACAACTTATTCATAGTTGGCCGCACAACATTGTTCACGCCTGTCGATATCAACTTGGAACAACCTGTGCGTTTTTAGCCGTGTAGGGTCGAACAGAATGTCCAGTGGTTTCCTCTGTACATCGGACAATTTCACGAATGCATGGGTCAGACAATGACCGTGACCGACCGATTTAACTAGGCTTGGACTTATACACGGTACGGTTAATATTGTCTTGTTTATAAGTTGCGCAGTTTTAGAATAATCGCACAGACCAGGGTGCTTGCGAAAACCATAATTTTACGCGCAAAACTTAACTTAAATCCGCCAAATAAATGAATTCGCACAATCTGGCACAAATCACTAAACACTATGAAAGCATGTCTTATCATCCTCTTAATCTTTTCCACTGTTGTTTAACTCCTTTCTTG